TTTTTTTTTTTTTTTAACCGAAGCAGTAATGAATTAAGACTGGGCGAAAAGAACGCACAGAATTCTGCTGTGAATAGATGTAAACCTGCGAGCCAGCCCCAGCGCACTGAACTTGCGTCTCTGCTGTAGGTCGATTGCGCTAAGAATTTAACCATTTTCTGCTTCACAGACTTCAAACAGTGGGCCAACAAAGAGCTGTAAAAGTTTGTTTGTTTTAAAAACCCTGTCATTAAAGATGCGTTCCTTCTTCAGCTCAGGACTGCGCGTCTACTTTCCAGGTGCCGGCAGCCAGCTCCTGGCGGTGCAGGCCTGCTTGCGTGCGGGGGTTTCAGGGATGTGCTCCTCCTGCTCTCCCCCAGGGTGATCCCGAGACGGGAGTAGATGCGTGCGGTGCTGAGAGTGGGGGTCAGAAACAGCGCGAGAAAACCGCGCTCTTCCAGAAGTAAAGTACAGGGTTCGAAGTGGACTTTGGTCTCGCCAGTGTTTGTGCTAGCCCCGGACCCGCAGGTCCAATGAACGGAGAAGGCAGAACAAGGTTAGCAGGCTTCTGTCTTTGGCACTGCCAGCCTAGGGCAGTTCTTTGACTCTAATAATGGTTCCTGCTCTAGGAAGCACAGGAGTGGGCAAGGCAAGGCGAGAAAATGGAAGGGGACCATCACGCTAGAGCTTATTTCATCTTCTCTTCTCTCCTAGTTCCCTTTCCAGCCCCCAATTTGGGGGCAGGGAGAAGCTGTTGACTTCTTAAACTTCGAAGAATTGCGGGGAGTAAGGAGAGTGCAGACAATGCCTGCTAAACTAATCAATGTAACTTCACAGGCTAGCCTGGCAGTGTGAAAACTTTCTTCCTTCAGTCCTATTAACTGGAGATGCTCCTGGCCAGAAGAGTTCAACTTTGCAGACTCTCGTGCAGGGCTGCTTTTCTTTCTGAAAAGGACTGGAACTAACAGATGTGGTTGACACATGTCCCTATTTTGCTTAACAGCTCGGTAAATGACATTTAAGGCGGATGGTTCCCATTGGGTCTCTGCTAAAATAAGAGCGACGGTTAGCAAAACGTGCCTACTATTAGACCAGCAAGACAAAGGAAGCGGAGTAAAAGTTAGCCCATGAAACCCTTAAATTATGAAAAAGGAACTAAGGGTGTGATGACCCCTCAGTCTAGGTGCTGGTAAGTTTGCCAGGCTGATGGGGAGAACAGGTCTTTCACAGGATTCCAGAGAGAAGGAGAAAAGTTAGGAAATTGTTCCCATGTCTTTAGACTTTGAGGAACAGCGCTGCTTTTAAAAAACGCCTTAAAATCAAATGCCAGGAACTGGGACCATCCCTCAGAGGTAGAGCGTTGGCTCAGGATGGCTGAGGCCCTGGGTTCTGACCCCAGTACCTGGGGTAGAGGAGGGGGGCGGATCAGACTCCATAAGCAAGGGGCAGCGTTTACCCTTGTCCCCCAGCTCAGAAATCTTGCAGTATCCTCCCCGCTCTCAGCCTCCGGAAACTTCTGTGATTCTAAGAATAGAAGCGCATAATTAATATTTTATGAATGTGGCTCATGGAAGCAATAACGAAACACCCCCCTCCTCCCCTCATTTGGAACTTGAGGAAATCCAGGCTTGAGGGCCTGGTTCCCCAAAGGGTCCGCACCAGACAGCGCCGCATACTGACCTGTGTGAGTTCGTTTGTGTATTTTGAGATTTTCTGATCTAGCAAAGACCTTCCCACACCCCGGAAAAGGACAAGGGAAGGGCTTCTCGCCCGTGTGCACGCGGATGTGATTTACAAGTTTGTATTTGGCCTTGAAGGGCTTGCCCTGTCGTGGACACTCCTCCCAGAAGCAGATGTGGTTGGCCTGCTCCGGGCCGCCGACGTGCTCCACGGTGACGTGCGTGACCAGCTCGTGCATGGTGCTGAAAGTTTTGGAGCAGAGGCGCGGGGACACAGGGCCGTCGGCGGCCAGCCACTTGCAGATGAGCTCCTGTTTGATGGGCTGGCGCATGTAGCGGAAGAAGGCGCCAGGGCCGTGGGGAGCGGCGAGGTTCACGGTCAGGTTCACGCCGCCGTAGCCGTGCAGGGCTGCAGCAGCTCCCAGGGCATCGCTGCGGGCCGTGGACCCCGGCGCGAAGGGCTCGGGCCGCGAGTACATGTCTCCGGGGAGCCCCAGACGCAGCAGTCCGTTCAGAGGACGGCTGTGGGAGGCCTGGTGAGGCTGCGCCTGAAGGCCTGGGTACACCGAGGGGTTGGAGGCTGTGGCGAGCTGGGGGCCATGGTGTCCGGAGAGGCTACCTGTTGTTGAGACAAATAGCGCGCGTGAGAACGGTGGCGTGGGCTGCGGCACTTCCCAGGGCCCCGGGGGGCAGGCCCAGCCCAACCGCACCACGGCTTCTGCCGTTAGCGTGGGGACCAAGAAGCAGTCGACGCCAGCCGCGAACACTGCGGACAGAGCAAGGCCAAACGCCTCCGCCGCGCTCGGGCTGGGCTGCAGTTCCACGGAGCTCCCCGCCGCGCCGTGAGCTGCGGCGGGACAGGGCGGCAGGATAGGTAGCAGGGGCAGTAGTGGAGAGGACAGCAGGGCTGAGCTGGAGGGTTTCTGGGGGGAGCCCAGCCTCTGCTCCAGAGAGTTTTGACCCTTGACTCAAGTGCACGTTGACTGCCAGTGCTCCGGGCGTGACACTGCCCAGGAGTGGAGGTAACACAGTGGCGGTGTTGGAGGTGGTTGTGTAGGAGGTGGTGGTAGTTCGGCAGCGCCTCAGCCGTGCATATTAAATTCAGTGCCCGCTGGAAGGGGAGGGAGAGGCCTGCTGCATCCCGGCGCGGAGCGCCTTGTGCCGCTTGCTTCCTCCACCGTCACCTGACGGTGGGGAAAGAGGACAGCCACAGAAAACTTGCGCCAAGCGTTAGTTTGTTTTATTTTTTTTTTGATTTTTTTTTTTAAATTCAGTTTTTTTTTTTTTTTTTTTTTTTTTGTCCCCCAAGTTTTGCGTTCGGGCTTTTTCTCCCCTCCCTCTCTGGGTCTTTAATGCTACTCGAAATCCCGTACACTACAGTGGTGGCAGCAGGACGCTTGAGGAAATGAATAGAAATTCGGCCGTGGCCGGGGGCCCACCGGAACAATCGCCTAGGAACAATCGCCTAGGTTGCCCATTGGCCCACCGCCCAGCCCAACGTCAGCAGTGACAGGTCCTCACAGGCGCTCTCCCTCTCTCTCTCTCTCTCTCTCTCTCTCTCTCTCTCTCTCTCTCTCACACACACACACACACACACACACACACACACGCACACTTTTCCTTCATCCTCCACTCCCACCCCAGTAGCATTTCATGCTTCTACTGCTCATGCGCTCTGACCCAAGCATAGATTCTCTTCTCTCCTCTTTAGCCCCCTCCCCTCTTCTCCTGAAAGCTGGGTGGATCATCTTTGCCTCTCCGGCCCTGAAAGTGAGCGGGACCGCGCTATGCCTGTTCCCCACGACCTTCGGAGAGGCGTTGGACTGGACGGTGTGCAATGTCCTCAGGGCAAATGAGGGTACTGGGCCTGTCCAAGTGGATGGGCAGCTTTGGGGCTGTGGGTATGTCGGTGGGCTTGGGCAGTTTGTTTTAGCAGCAGAGAGGAGGAAGCGGTGGGGATCCACAGCAAGCAGGAGGCTGCAGACAAGGTTGTCAGGAGCAAAGAAACTCCTAGGACAGAGGCCTTTGAGCCCAACTTTATTTTTCGGTTTCTCCAAAATTTCTCTTTCCCCCATCTATCTCATAGACTTTCTCTCTCTCATGTCCCCTAAACCCCTACCATTTTTCTCCTTCCTTCTTGTTTTCTTCTCTTCTCCCTGTCTTCCTCTCTGCTCTTTTCCCATTTAGTCTTGCCAGTCCTCCCTCCCTTGGGAATGGCGCCCTCAGAGACACTGCAACCCAAGAATCTCTGGATTGGGGCTGAGGCAGTGATGGCCTGGCAGAGAACTCACCTCAGGGCCTTCCAAGAGGGCCTTTTGAAACAGGCCACCTGGACACATGGGGCTCAACTAAGAGGAACTGGTCCTTCCACTGAGGGCTGCCTGCACCCCTCTCATGCCCTGACTCTGGACCTAGATGGCACTTCTCCATCTTTGAGCTCTGCTACTTGTTGCCTGCAGGCCAAGTCTCTGTGCCTATCCATGCTCACCTTAGCATAATGTAAATGGTGGCTGCCATGTTTCCCAGGCTCTATTAGAGAGGCCTACTCAGCCTCTAAGAGCCTGGACCACAAGAAACACCACAACAGTCAGCCAAAGAAAACTTCAGTCCTGGCCCAGTCGAGTGTGGCATAAACATGAGGGAGTGTCCTTTGTCTGCACTGACTAGTTAGGGTCAGCTGCTTCATCTGTCCGGCAATTTAAAGGACTGCTGGCCCCGACCCCTGCCTGCTCACTGCAGCCAAAAATGCCAGCCGAAGTTCTCAGACCTCCCTGGTGGCCATAAAAAGCGCCCCCCCCTCCACCAAAGCACAGCAAGGCTTGAGGTTTTAAATAGAAATTTAAAAGATTGAATGAAAGCTCCCATTGCCCATTAGCAGGGGTGAGAAGTTTGGACAGATTACATGGAGCCCTAACTCTGAACTGATAGTATTGTTCTACCCATCCTCTGCACTGAGAACTATTCTTACACATTTCCTAGTCAGCAAACAAGGGTTTCTTTTATTTAAAAGAAATCTACTTATTTATGAAGGTGGAAAGATTCTTTGAGACTTTCTTTATCTAACATATTGTTCTCCCTCGGGGTTGAGCTGCAACAAGGAATTAACTTCCACAACAATTTGTTTATTCTTCCACTACTTTGGCTATTTCCATTTCTCCAGCAAGAAGGACTAAAGCAACTCTACCAATGGACTCTGTTAGCATGAAAAGAAAAGACATGTGACTCTCTCTCAGTCTGCTGCTGCTCTCCAAACCAAGGTCTCCCACTCAACCATTTTGAAAACAGACTCAGAAAGGTTTTCTTCTTTCCTGGCTTTCACATTGTTCCATACACTCACCTTGTAAGGTTTATGCCTTCCAGGTATACCCACAGGGCCACTCTCCCTCTCTATTCCCCTACTTGGGGAATAGATTGGCTAGGGCTGAACCAATGAAAGACTAAGACAATAAGAAAAAGAAAATAGAAATGTATTCCTCCTTGGGACCTTTTACCCAGCTGTTTCTACCATTCATATCTCAAGACTGAGCTTAATCAGTATCTGTGGTTTTCAAGCCTAAGTTCAGGGTCACCTCTGCAGTAATCTAGTAATTAAACTATTTTCCCTCCTTGCTACCTAAATGACCTACAACTAAATGCTCAAGATATTTGTCGAACTCACCATCCACTTTAGCTTTGAGCAAAGCTCTAATTTATGTGCTAAGGATACAGCTCAGTGATAGAGTGCTAGCCTCATATATGCAAGCCCCTGGTGAGTACCTAATAGTCCTATGTTTGTTGCCAGTATTCGTAATAAAAGAAAATGTTCATTTCCCATTAACAGACTGTAGAAGGAAGGAGGTATTTTTCCCCTTCTAAGTCCATGAACCTCTTGAATTTGAGGCGGTAATTCTGTGGCCTCCCTAAACATATAAAGGAGACATTTTATAGACATAGATTGCTCATCTACTACACACTCTGTCTCCCTAACTCTGCCCTTGAAAAGTTCTGATCATCGCCTATGACTTTTTATGCCAGCAGCAAAAAGGGCAGACATATCTGATTCAGCCAAAATCACTGACAGTAGTCTGGCCCCATGGAGCGCCTTCCCAGATGCAGCCTTGTCTTAAACCACCAAAAACATCTGGACTCATCCTGGGTAGATGCTTCTTGAGTAGTCAGGGGTCAATTGACCTGCAGGTCATTGAGGTTGCTTGATTCTTGCAAGTTCTTTGGAGCCATATGGCCCATACCTCGGTTGGCTAAACACAGCAATGGGACCAGACATTCTCTTACAAGGCCATTTCCCCAGAGACAGTAATAGGGGAAAAAATAAACTCTTTTGTACCCGTTAATATTTACAGACACGGGATGTTGGGCAGTTACATTGGGTTCTTCAAGGTGCATCTCTAAAATAACCCTTAAAGCATTAACTAAGTACACACAGATGACAGGTTGTGGGACATCCATATCTTGGAGGCATATTTTAGTTTTCAGAGGGACCCCTTTTAGATTTCATGAAGCAAGGGGCTTGGGTTTCAAGGGTCAGTAAGCCAGGCAGCAGAGTGTTGTCCCCTCATTAGCCCTTAGAATTTTTCTTTCAGAAACTTACGGCACTGCACTTGCTTCCAACACCAAATGCTTAACTGAAGAATTCCCTTCTTAAACTTGGCTAGTATCATAGCATCATTAGGCCTATTTTCCTCTTGATTTGCAGAGAAGAGAAACACCTTGTAGCCTGGAAGTCTTTAGCAGATGCAAATAAAAGCACTGAAAGCTTCACCAGAAGAGAATCCAACAGCACACCTCAAACGTCCCTCAGTCTCCATATTCTCTGTGAACTAGTGCCCAGAATCATGCCCTAAGCACTTTTGCTTAGTACAAGACCAATGTAATGGCATAAACAAGTGATTTTCTAGTCCTACTTTCTAGAAATAGGGCACTTGGTGGCTGTACCATCTGCCAGAGCTCCTCACATTAAAATACTTGCTCAAATGCCTGACCTTTCTCTCTTGGAAAGAAAAACAAGAGGAGACTATAAATCCATAGCTGGGCCTTTTTCCCATTTTGGTCTTTTAAGCAATGTACAATGATGATTATCTGTTGCAGATTGTACCTCGAGTATGGTGTCAGGAACTGAGGGCCACTGCACAGCCTGATCACTAAGGTCTCTGTCATCTGAATGTTCTGGTCCTAGATCTGTGGCCACTTTTTCAGTTCTTTTTTCCTTGTTTCTGGCCATGTTGGCACCCAGAATGAGGAGCATGTTTTTTAGAGGCTACTCACAAACAAATTTCAGGATTCTTGCAGTGGGAAGCTTCTCTTATGAAAAGAGTAACTTGAACCCCAGAAGTCTGCCCATATGTTTGAGCCTAAATTGAGCAAAGGAGATGAGATTTAACAGGATTTTGGAAAGAAAGAAAGAAATTCTTCTTTATTATGGAAATATGAGCCTTAATCATCATTTTAAAAAATTGAGTATGAAAGGAAATATACTTGGATGGAATTTAATTTCCAAGCGAGGTTTCAGCAAAATGTCTTTTGACAAAAGATTAGGAAACATTGTTAAAAGATCTTCCAACACAGCATTAAAGAATCAAAACAACTGAATTTACATAAGAACCACATCTCTTTTGCTACTTCTGCCATCAAATTATTCCAAAATAATAGAAGAGATTTCCTGACCTGTTCTTCTGACTTTTGCTAGGAAGGTTGCTTTGGCTATCAACAAGGGAGCATCCATGGAGACCACAATTAGCCAGTGGTGTGTGTGTGGTTGAAGCGAGGGAAACTAGAAGCCTGGAAGGGAAGACACCCAACCCTAAATCATATGCTTATTTTAAATGGAATATTAAATTAAATTCTTCACAATGAAGGTATTCCTGACAGAGTGGCTGTCAGTCACTCCCTGTCCAGACACCACATTGTGGGAACATAGTCACTGCCACATTGCAGAAGCCTGGTGTCCCTGGTAAAGATGATACATATCATGTAAACCCCATCACCAAGATCAAAGTCTGCTTCTTTCATGGAAGCCAATACATGTCAAACCTCATTCCAATCAAATCGTCCGGAAATGAATTCAAGATGAATATGTCATAGAATAATGTGACGGTGGCATTGCAGAAGGTCAGGGGTGATTGTTTCAATGAGGGAGTCGTCAAATATTAATTCTAGAACGTCTAGATGAGTAGGCATTGAGAGAGATTAGCCGGCTGCTGGTGGGATGTTGTGTCATTAATTTGTGTGCAAATGTATTGAACACCAACGTGTTGTTCTAAGTTTCGTTTTAAACTTAAGAAATACACCCAACTCAAAACTAAGCATAACTAAAAGACAAAAAAGCTTTTTACTACATAAAGCAAGAACAAAAGCAAAACTCCCACACTTCCAGCAAACAATATTTTAAAAAGAATTTTCACTTACTGGACTCTTTCAGTGTGTTTCGGTAAAGCCGTAGTCGTTTCCTCATCACCAATGAGGTCTTGTATCTCATTTTCTGGTTTTGAGCCTGTTAGAGTAGAAAAAAAAGAATACTCATTAAACATTTCATAGGTGTTTTTATGGTAAGATTCTGTGACCTGAACGTAGGAATGAAAGAAGGTGTTGGTCTAAAAAAATGTCTTTCAGTCTTTCTTTACCATTTTCAAATTTGGAAGCTAAGAAAAAAGACTCTGCTGGTAACTGCTCATATTTTATTGCAAAATGATATGTCTTTTAATAGAAAAAAATATAGAAAAAATTATAATTTTCCAGCTAGACTTTTACCTGAAATTCATGTGTTGTTCTGTCTTGCAAGTAGAAGTAAATACTCTTTTGGTCAGTGTTAAAAATTTCTATGACTTCCTGAATTTGAAATTATTGTATGAGAAGACCCCATTATTTATTGAATTTTATTTATTTAAGTTTTGTGAGGTATGGTGAGGAAGGCCGCTATTTTCTAAGAGGTTAGTTAATAGGTTAAAAATCCTAGCTGTACATGTTGGAGCCGAGAAAACACAAATTTATTTGCAGTTTGATATCCTGCTCTGTCTTTGGTGGTGTGAAATCCTTTAGCCTCAGATGACCTGTATCCCCAGACCCATTTAGGAGCTATCTCCGGTTAAATTTTTAAAATTAATTTATAACTTAAAATAGATTTTTAAAAAGTACAATTTGGTCCAGGCTAACCCTATTTTATAGTTCAGAAGGTTGGCAGTAACACCTCCTCCTCAAGATATATGCATTACTTGTCAGTGGCTGGAACTACCAAGCCTTTGGCATTATAAATCTGTAAAAGCATCCTGAGGAACTCTGGCTAAAGGCAGTGGAGCTACCAAAGGCAATCCACCTAGTTCCGACACTCAGTTTGGCCTAGAAAGACAAACAGTCATTCAAAAGGTCTCAGACTGGACAAACACAGCAAGCCCTCTGTCAATGAGGACTGTCTGCCTGTCTTGACACTGTAGTCCACAGAACAAGCAGTTGTTTAACTTGTTGAACCACAGGCCAAATCCAACTGGGGCTCTGCTATCTCAAAGGATATCCAGTTCCCTATGTTCAAAGATCTTTCTCTGTCCCCTGCACCCCCAACCTGCTCTCTAACTAGCTGCTTGTTTCCACCTTCCCCTCTCCCATCTTTTCTGTCCACTCCTGAGACGTGGTAGGGGTAAACTCACCTTTTCCCAGAGGATTTTATTTATTTTCAATTCTTTCTAACCAAAAGGCATCGTTTCCCCAAGGTAATAAGCTCCTTCCAGCACAGATCAGGAAAGAAAGGAGACCCAACTTTGCATTCCTACAGAAAGGCAGCATGCTGGGTGTCCTCACTCTGAAATCTCCTCATGGCAGGATATCTGGCACCGACAAATCCTGGTTGGTTGGCAATAATAGAATATACTTTTTTGCTTCTGAGGGAAACGGGTGTGAGGTTCCCAAGAGACCTCTGTCCACCCATTTCTGCCCCAGCTCAACTTTTAATAGGTCTGGGTCACTTCTGCCCCCAGGTCTTATCAGCCTTTTGTGCATTACAAACCGTTCTGTAGGCATGCAAATAAGTAGGCAGTGGAGCTACCAGAGGCAAGCAACAGAGACCTTTAGAGGTTGGACGTCCAAGCAAGGAGGGCAAGCAACAGAGACCTGAAGAAGCTTGCAGCAGCTCTGTTACGTGGCCTGTGTGGAGAACCAGCATAAATATCTCTTTTGGTTCTAATTCTGACACCACTTAGCAAGCCGGCCATCTCACTCAATTAAGAGTGATAAAATTTTGGAGCTCCCCCGGGCCCTTAGACCCAAGGTCCCCCTGATATCGGAGCCTGGAACAGGGCTCCGTTTCCTTTTCCTCAAATGCTTGCTCCTGATACATCTTCCTACATCATTTGGCCAGCCACCGAATAAGTTGGGAGCACATCCTGCGATCATGCTAGTATCTGCCTTCCACCATAAACCCTGAGAAGAGAAAAAGGTGCCAGAGACCCTCTGTGGGTGATACAGCCAGGAAAGTGGGGAGGTGCAAAAGGGATTCTATTTAGGGCGCCAGTGGCTACATGTTGTGCGGCCGACCCAGTTGGCACAGGCCTGCCCAAGGTCAGAGGTCAACCACAGCTACCGATTTCAGTTCCCCAGCTGCTGGACACTGATTTACGTGCAGGCACGCTTTTGCGGCCGTGCCTGCTCTTCCGTATAGCTCAGCCTTAGCGGAAGCGGAGCAAAAGCCCTAGAGGCCGGCTGAGAGCTACGAAACGAAGGAAGAAACCTGCGCCTGGCCTCTGTCTGCTGCCTGCCTTTGCCAGCTGCACCCCGCACCTCCCTGGCTACCTTCTTTAGGCCCCTAAAGCTCCAGGAAGTTGAGCGGAGAAACTGAGTTTTGCGAAGAACTCTTCTCATTCTCTTGTCTAGAGGGAGGAGCTCGGATTTCCGGCAGCATGGTGCTGAAGGCTGGGCAACCTCTAGGTGTTCAAAGTAAAGTTTCTATCAGTGGGTCACCTACAAGTCCCCAAAATGCAGACGCATGAGATAGAGGAAGGGAAACCGGTGCCGCGGCGTGTCGCTACCGGGGCAATACTGTCGGAAAGGTAGGAGAATCATGATTTGGGAATCCAAAGGGAACTTGCAAGCGATGCTTGCCGGCGGAGACTTAGCCCTCCAATGCCTCCTCCTCATTTCCAAGGCTTTGCTTACTCCCAGCTGTTCCCGTGGGCCATTCGTCAAGCCCAAACTTTCAAGCTCAGCTTTCGAAGGAGTGCTGACTCTTCTGTTAACAGCCCAATTCTATTTCCTTTTTTCTTGACCCTAATTTCTACTGCCCCTGAGCCTAGGGTGACAGTCAGTATCCTAGAGGCTGCGGCCTGCTCCCCAGAGAACTGGTTGCAACTCTCAATCGCACCGGAGAGAAAGAAAGCTAAGTCCAGAACCCACAGCCCGAAGCTCGCTGACAGCGAAACCAAGCGGTCAGCTCAGGACCACAGTGAGCGAGGGCAGTGAGCTGGCCGTGGCCGGAGCAGCCGGCATCCTCAGCCAGGATGTGAAGTTCCCTCACGGTGTTGCCAGCCACTCTAACTTGGCTTTTTGACCCTAGGGAGATCAAGCCGAGACTCTCCCCCGAATCCCTGTAGAGGCTTGGCAGAGACGCTGCCTGTAAGGACCATCCCACCCTCAGCTTCCTGGCAGTAACCCTGATCTCTCCAAGCGAGGGCCACTTGTACCCTTCTTATGCCCACGGTGGGGCACCTAGGCAGTTTACAAGGAAGGGAGGCAAGCCAGGCAAGCAACAACTGCTCTTGGTGCCTGTGTCAATAGGAGCTCCATTGGTCCTTTCTGCCCCCTCCTCCTCAGAGGAAGGGACGACTCTTCCTCAATGCTGCCCTCTCTGCGGAAGGGCCCCCTCCTCCCCTTAGACTCAGTGGGGTGGGGCCTGTATCAGAGGCTGGGGGGCCAATGAAGGAGGAGATCAGGGAGAAACTGGCTGGGCCTCTTCCCCCAGAGGAGTTTGGGTGCCAAAGGCCCCCCACAAGAACACTCACTATGCTGCTGGGATTCAGGTCTCTCCTCTGAGCCCCCTGGACTTCAGCACTTACCCTGCTCCACCTGTTGCCAGGATCACCTCATTTCTGCACATCACTTCGGGGTGGCTGAGGGGGGACCACAAACCCCTCTAAGCCTCTCTTTTGTGGTTCCATCGAGGCGATCATCCTTCATGTCTCCTTTCCAGCTTTCGGGAAGCAGTTAGGGAATGTATGATGAAGCAGAAATGAGCCGTCAGGATGATATTTTAATGGCTTATATGTCACGTTGGTGCATGTGGCTTTGAACTGGAGCCGCTTTCGTTTCCTGCAGAGAGCGCCGCAAATCCCACTTGATAACTTCTACAACCCACAACTTTTTTTTTTTCCTCACACTCACTCTTACCCTGTATATTTGGTTGGGTTTCCTAAAAATACCCTCTTGTCAACGTCCCCGTTGGATTTTCTACAGACTGCAGACGAGAAGACTGACTTTTCTGTTTTGAAGAATTATTTTCCCTCCCCCTCCCAACGGCTACCCTTCCCCCTCAGGTCCCCTCCCTTGGTTTTTTCTCTTTTTTTCTTTTTGAAAGGCAAGCGAGGTGGGTTCAATATTTGTTCTCCCTAGTGACAGCAGTAGCATAGCCTCTAGAGAAAACTTCTTTTTACATGTAAGGTTTTTGCAATTCTAGTGTTCAACTTCCCCTTGTAGGTACCAGGAATGATTAAGCGGCTCTAATATTTCTTTTTAAAAAATAAACAAAATATATACTATTTTTTAAAACACACTCAGCCCCCTTTCTTCCACTCCTCATCAAATTATTCAAAGATAGTAGAAAATGCTGGGCTGCTGGACTCAGACTTGTTGCTGGGGACAGAACATTTATAATTTTTTTCCCTCTTTCTAGAATTCTTATTCCACATCACAAATGTTCGGCCGGATCCTTTCAGACAGACACAAGGAAACCATCCGAGATACAGAACCCGACTTTTGAGCAGAGAGAGCGCAGGGAAAAGCCAGCCCAGCTTGACATCCCCAAACCAGAACCTAGTCCTGGAGAAGACCAGGAAAGCAGAAGGCAAGGAGTGGCCACTGCGGACCCTGCCTTCCTCTAAACCCGAAAAGCCAGAGCTGGCTGGCGACAGGGAAAAAAATTCATTTTCATTTCGCTCTCGCCGGGGCACTGGTGAGTTTCCCAACCCGGCCGCCTGTGAAAGGATGAGTTGAGGTTTCTTTGTCTGGAAAGAGAGTTTAGGGCTCTGATTCAGCTGCAAAGAAGCCAAATGAAGTTAGAAACAAAGGGTAAATTGAAGGATTCCGACTCTTGGCTTTTTGTGTTTTCCTTACTAGAAAATAATTAGACCTAATGAATATGCAGACGCTTCGGCTAAACCCCGGGCCGAGCTGCTGGGTTTTAAACAGAGCCGAGGAGAACCCACCCCCCGTATCTCTCTGCATTTTTTGAAATGCATAAATGTTGCTCGGTTTAATTGAGTCACAGGGATTTTTTTCCCCTGCTTTTAAGTGCCA